AATAAGTACCTTATATCAGCCAACTGTCATCCCTTGCACAGCAACACTCAGACTGGGAGAGGGACTGGCAGCACTCTGTTAGTGAGGCTCCTCAGCATGCAAATGGGCATATATGCTGACAGGAGCAAAGTGCATTGTGAGCAAGCCTGATGATTTATCACTGTGCGCTCTACCACTGCCCAATCAGCAGATTCCAGGTGGTAAGTTGACGCCACTGTATTCCTTAACGAGGAACTGAACTGTTGAATCTGTGCCCAAAAAGGCAATAGCCTAGTCAGCAGTACTAAATGCAGGCTCCCTGCAGCTGTTTTTTTCCCCCATTACTGACTTCCCATGTCTCCGGGAGGAACCATCTTGGTAGAGTCAGGGCTTTGCTTCTTCATGTCATACCTGTCATGTGATGACTGATGGTCTGATAAGTGATGGGGGATATCCAGGAAACAGCAGAAGTGCAGAAGACAGATCCACAGAGTAAATGAAGTAGACGCAGAATCCTTGCACGTGAAGTAGATCCTTGCACTGCAGGTCTTCAGGTATAGCTTCTTCTCTAGCAAGGAGAACAGTGAGCAGCACAGTTTACTTTTGCTGCTTACAGGGTTATTGACAAAGCTGCCGAAGGCAGCCGAGTGAATAACCAAGCCGAAGTGAACAGAGCCGAATGACGTTCATCTATTCACTCTGGCTCAGTACAGCTGATTTCCGTCAGCCTTCGGTCAGCCGAACATGCTCTGCATCCAACTGGATCGGCTGAGCCGAAGCCGGAGAGCAACGGCGAGTCAGCGCAGGTCCGGCGGGAGGAGTTCCAGGTGGGTTTCTAATTTAGCTGCCCAGCACCTCTGGGCCAGCTAAATTAGGACCCCACCTGGAGCTCCTCCCATCGGATCAGCGCTGACTCGTCACTGCTCTCCCGAGTCCCGCACAGTGAGTGAGGGCAAAGGGGGGGGGGACGAATTATAAGGCAGGGACAAATTTTAAATCTATGGTCTCCAGTGTATAAGCAGTGTGTACCCTATATGTAAAACATACACTGGAGACCATAGATTTACAATGATTCTTTGCTAACATGAATGGATTAACCACTTCCCGGCCGGCCACATTTATTCTTTGCTAACATGAATGGATTAACCACTTCCCGCAACACCCCCCCACCCCACCCCCGTGCGCCGCTGGGCGCGCACGAGCGGGAAATGCCCGTTATTAAGCAGATCTCTGCTTCATCAGCTTCTTCAGGGGGGTCCTAGGTGACATTGGAATCTTGGAGACCCCTGATGTCTCCATAAAGAGGACCTGTCACATATTTTGCTATCACATAAGGTGGTTTTCTAACCCCCTTTGTGATAGCAATAAAGTTAAGTGAGAAAAAAAAAAATAGGAAAAAAAAATGTTCCCCCAAAAATGTAAAGTTACAAATAAAAAAGAATACATTTTTTTTTTAAAGTCCCCCCCATGCATACAGGCGTCGGGTGCGCATACGTGCAAAAATGACGATTTCGCCCATTACGCCACACATGTTACATATCGCTGCGAACGTCGGAATGAGAGCAATAGTTCTAGGGCAATCAATCACTGATAACACTAAACTAATGAGCTGTAAAAGCTTTTAAAGCGTCGCCTATGGTCAATTTTGGGTATGGTAGTTTGAGGGCCCTCTCACACTTGTGTGTTTGCGGTAAGGCATGTCTTTAGTGCTCGCTACTTCTTGTGTTTATTCGCACTTTAAATGCATTCATTTTTATATATTCCTTACGAAAAGTGAGGGAGAACCGTTCCGATAGAGGGATTTGAATAGAGATAAGGGATGCATTTAAACCGCACACAACCGTGTGATATATGAATTTACCTTTCATTGTAAACATACCTGCACAGTATGAATAAATACATAAAACTATTGGATATCTCTTAGCCTGCAGCACATATATGTAAATTAGCCACATAGTGGGTCTGACATATTTGAAATTCCTCATTGTGTTGGTCTCAGAAATTGAAAGTTCTCAGAAAGTTTTTTTTTTTTGCTGCAGTTTACCTGATTGTTGAACCCAGCGTTTTGCTGTTGATATATTATGGCATGGCACAACACATTTCTGATGTGAAAGTAATATTCAGCATTGGAATTAAGGCTATTGTCGGATTGGGGATTACAGATGAGGGTTAGAGATAAGGTTGAAGGTTACAAATTCATATTTTTCAACCCCTTTTGGTACGTTTTAATCAAGGCACCAAAAAGGATCAAGTGGATCAAGCAATCTACTACCAAAAGTTTCCAACAATTTACACTCATAACTGTTAGCAGTAGGCGGCCTTCATTCATTTTATCCTTTTGGTGCTCACAATCTGGTTGAAATTGCTTGAAAACCTGCGGCTGGTTTTGGTTTGAGAAGGCATGGGTTAGACTGACGCAGAGGATAGGGTCAATTACATCAAATGATAATCATGCCAAACCATCAAACATGTTATAAACATCAGGAACAGATAAATATCAGTGTCAAAAATGTATTCATATACAATTTATCGGTGGCAAAAATCATCATACTGCAAACACATTAAACTTACCAAACCTGACTGTTACATTTTCTTTACAATCTTTTGGATTTTAAGGCATCCCAATGGCAGCTGTCAGGAAATGTGTTGTATAAAGGAAAATATGTCTTTCCACATGGATCGCTTTACTTGGGGAATGCATGAACAAGAAGAAGCTCACAAGGGACAGAGGAGTCTCCAGCAGTTGTTCATCTACTAGCTTGGAGAAGAAAGGAACAGGGAGCAGGGGAGTGGCTTGCCTTGCTGTTCTTTTATGTTTGTACAAACACACACATAACCAGCACACACAAGGGTAGATCCATAGAACTCTGTAAGGGAAAGCAGCCACCCTAAAACAGAATATCAGGACCAATGCTCAGAGGACCAGCTGACTCTGCAGGAAACTAAAACGTTTAAACATCAAGGAGCAGCATCCATTGTAAGTGATTTATTCAGCATTTGAAATAGTTTTAAAAAATGCTATGCCTTTAATATCAATTTAACAGGCAAGGATGAGAAATTCACACGACAGGGATAAAGACAGCAATAAAATCTGACAACAGTTATAACACTTCGGTATTTAAAGAAAGCAAGTGAAATAAAAGCTAAAATACGGTAGCCATATTTAGTAGGCTTTTTTCTTTAGAGTGTTTTTGGATGATGATGCAGCCTGTTGTGATGTGTTTCTTTGCAACCCCCCCCCCCTGAATGCTACAAAGTTAGGGGCTCAGTACCTGGGGATGACTGCCTTACATTAGGCCGACTGTGTCACCAATGTGATCTTCACTATTGTGCTTCCTTTTAAAAGCCAACTGCAACAGAACTAGAGGTCAGTACACAGCATGACTGAGGAATCCTGTACGTAGAAGAGCCTGTAAAAGGAAACTATTAGGATAGAGGTATAAGTGGCACAATCAGAAGGTCAGATGTCACCTGAAGTCTGACAGTAGCCCCTGTCAACTATTTGGCCTTGCACACGCCATCTCCAACTTCTGCATGCACAGTGTGTGAGGTCAGATAGTTGAAGTGACACTAAACTCGGAAGTTGAATATTAAAAATGCTTTTAACTACCCAAACTTTTAACAAAAATTTATCTTATGTGTTTATCACTCGGCTGTAGATCCTCAAATCATCTCTGAATTGATGCTGACACTGTTCTTCCTTCTGGAGGCTGGCTACTTTTGTTCCCCATGGTCCCTGTGTATGTTGTAGACTAGTCACCGCTCCAAGCTCACTCCCGGGATGGACTACAATCTCATGTTTAGTTTACCAATTTGTATTGAAGTTATAGGCTATCCTGGGAGCGAGCTTGGAGCAGTGACTAGTTTACAACACACAGAGACCATGGGGAACAAAACTAGCCACCCTCCAGAAGGAAGGACAGTGTCCGCACCAATTCAGAGATCGAGATTGAGGATCTACAGCCGAGTGATAACACAAATAAGATACATTTTTGTTAAAAGTTAAGGTACTTAATGCATTTTTAAGATTTAACTCTGGGGTTTAGTGTCGTCACTTTAAGCCCCCCAGCAGTGTTATATGGTTTGTTCCAACCCCTGTAACCGAATCTTTTTGGTGGACAGCTTGTCCTTTTAAAAGGAAGTTAAATAAAAAAAATTAGATCTACTGGCAAGATCAACAAGTAATAAAACTATGTTACACGGGGGACTCAGAAAAAGAAAAACGGCTGCGTTAATGCTATTGACAGACTGCATCATATATGTCATTTTTTATTTTGCCCATAGTTCCACTTGAAATAAAAGGGCGCTATAAATCTTTAATTAGAACTTTAGGTCTGAGTGATGGTCATAACCCTGGAGGACTGGAGTTGTAAAGCATTGTTTTAGGCAAAAACACATAGATAAAACTTCTGCTTTAAAAACAAGGAACACAAGATCTGGCTCGCCAAATAAACTCAAGGAAAAATAAACATAAATCTGTTGAATGATGGGAAATGAAATAGTTGTCATACATGTTAAATTCAGCAATTGTATTGTACAGACATTTGTTCCTGAGGTATGCTGTGAAATTACAATCTCTAAAAAAATATTTACTGTTTATGTCACAATTTGTGGCACATGATGTAGCAAAACTAGAGTGTGTGTAGAAACTACCAATCTAAACAATATATTAACACAATATATACATATAGGCTTTTTTATTTCAATTTTTTTATGGTTTTGATTTTACTAGAAAAGTCTTATTTTAATGCTATTAGTGGCACCGTAGCAGAATGCTCTAGGAATGTTAGAGTGTAAAGGTGGCAAAATGAGGATTTCTGGTCTGAAGGTTTATACATATTTAAATAGCTTTAATCTATGCTGCAAGGAAGCATCTTTGCGATGAAGGAAGAAATTTCTAGCAAAATCCATTTTTCAAATTCCAGCTCAGTGACATGACGCTCCAAGCTTCTAATGTACAGTTTTGTTTTTTTCTGGAAACAAGAGACCATTGCCCTGTAAAAAGTAAAAACCAAAAATACCAGCAAAAAGTTGCATGCAAGTATACTGCTAAAAGCAATTTTAAAAAAAAGGAATAAAATAAAATAAGTGATTGACACCAGTAAGAAACACTCCTGACTTTTCAGAAACCCAAATCAGCACAGAGTCCGTCGTAGGCTCACAGTCCATTTATGAGATCCGGGTTGCAAAATGCTCATGCCTCTAACAAAATCCAAAGCCAAAAAGTTATTCTGCTTTATGACAATATAGATCTTTTAGTGCCTTCAGCTCCTCAATCAGAGTCTTGTTTTGGTTCTCAAGCACAGCCACACGATTTTCAAGACACTTGACATATTCTTTCTTCTTTTTGCGACACTCCCGAGCCGCTTCCCTGAAACCAACACAGGATATGAAACTAAAGAAGAGACCAAAGACAGATAAGGAAAAGACTTCCACCGCTACATCAGGAACGTGTAATGTACATCTGCTGCATGCAGCAAACAAAGCATTGCAAGGACACAGAAGCACATGAACAATGCGAGGTGGAAAAGAATGCGGGGAATCAACCAGAGTTCAGCACTGATGGAAAGTAGTGACACATGTCAGCTCAGATTATAGAACACAAAAAGCACAAATGACATAATTTGGAAATAACAGAATATGCAGTATTACTTCCTAACTGCAAATGTTGACATGCAAGTTAGGCAAGCAAATGCAGCGATGAATGGATTAATTGCAAAGCACAAAAGAATCACAAAGCTGTTAAAAAACAAAAACATTCAAGAGAAGAAAAAAGGTAATCAGTTAAACTATGCCTAGAAAAGCATTCAGCCTGAGTTACAAAACCTTGATGTAATTCCAGAATAAACAACAGCTTGGTAAGAATATTCCTAGCTAAAATGTGCCAATTGATTGGACAACAGAAACGTAGAAAAAAAAATGGAAACATATGAGAGGCATTGCTGTCATAAGTAAGGGGCTCTAGGGGTGTCATCTCCAGGGGAAGTCGGAATCTGTTAATGGTCACAGGTAGTGGTGAGTGAACTAAGCAAACTTCAGTTCGCTGGATGTGCGTTGAACCAAAAAAAAAAAAAAAATCATGAACCCCAAACATAATGACGTACCCCAATGAAGTCTATAGGAATCTTTTTGTTATGCTCTTTGTTTATTGCCAAATTGCAAAATTTAGGGAAACAATACAAATACATTCAGCGGGGACCTTAAAGTAGCATTAAGGTCTGGGCATTTTTTACCTTAATGCATTCTCTGCATTAGGGTAAAAACGGCCGAGCACCTTTTTTCTACCCCAGTCTCCCCCCCCCCCTCCCCCCACACTTACCTGTCAGCTGCGCTCGTCTCCGCCGCCGGTCCAAAGAGATCCTCCGTCCACCGAACTTCCGGGTTGCGGGGGGAGGATACTGATGGCAGAGGAGCCATAGGCTCCTTCTGCCATCAATCAAAGAGGGAAGGGGCGTGGCCTGCCACAGGGCTGTGTGTGTCTATGGACCCACACAGCCACTGCGGGGACGAGCGCGCACGGGTGCCTCCATTAGAACGATGGTGGCACCCGTGCAGGGGGCGGGGGAAAGTGCGCTGCGGGGACCACTAGAAAATGGTCTAGAGGAGGTTGTGGAATTTAAGGTGGGGGACCTATGAAAAACAAAAAAACAAAAAAAATTTGCGGTTTTCCCTAAAATTCATACCAGACCCATGGCCTTGATGATAAGGGGGTACCCCACAAAAAAAGTGTGTCATCACCCCCAAATATCACACCAGACCCTAATCAGAGCATGCAGCCTGGCTGACCAGGAAAGGAAGGGGCAGTAAGTGTGCGCCCCCTTCCCTGCTGAATTGTACCAGGTCACACACGAGGGGGCTACCTTTCCACTTTTTTGCATGGGGTTCTCCTTAAAAACCATACCACACTGTAATGGGCTGGTATGGAGGTTAGTCTTTTTTCAAAGTGTCATTAAGTGTTTTTATGGTGCACACTAACAACCATTGACTGTGCACCGGCCAGCATCTTAGCAACCAATGGTGTTATTGGTTGCTATGATGAAAGCAGCGAGCCCAACATCATCCTTAGCTGCTAGGACACACACGGTCACCAGCTTCCTAGCAACAAAGGAGTGGAATGTCATGCATGTAATGATACTGCTACTAAATGAATGGCCTGCGACTGAAGTAGCCGGAGGTTCAGCAGTTGGGTGAACTGGCCAGTTTAGTTAGTGAACAGCAAACATGTAAAATTCAGGTTGAACACTACATGTCTGGGAACTCTGTTTCCATCCCTAGTCACAGGTCTCTCTAAGATGGGCAAGGTCAGTGGGTTGTTGTGAGGGGATGCAGAAGCCAATAGGAGATGCAGAAGCAGTTGAAAAAGCAATGGCACAAAGAAGGAGAACCAGCAAAATGGAGTGTGTTGTTTGTATGTTAGCAGGAGCCCAGATAGCAAGCAATTGAGCTGCAAGTTTGAAAATGACTTGCTAAACTATGGCAATCTTGCCAAGCTTCACAATTTTGTTGCACAATTACAGCAAGTCTGCATTGCAAGTCTCCAGACCAGCTAGCTTGCAGAGCTCTTGCTAAGACCTGCAGAACTCTTGCTGTAGACTTGCCAAGCAAATTTGCTACAAATTCAAAAAGTGTCAACTAGAACTTGTGCTGCAAGTGTTCTGCAAGTTTACAACTTGCCGGGGAATGTGTGCATCAAGTTAACAAAAATTACAATGTAACCCTGTCACAAGTTTGTGGCAAGTTATCCTTGCTATCTGGGAGGCTGAATGGGACATTTACTATCAAATTATGGCCATTGTAGCAATGGAATGCTGTTTTACACTGTACGTGTGACACACTATAATGTGAAGTATGTCACCACCACACTGAGAATCTGTGTCCAAAAAACGTCTTTATTGACGTATATACAGTTTGTCACAAGATTGACAACATTTCAGGGCCACATAGGGCCCTTTCATCAGGTGTAATATTACTTATTATGACTGAGGAAGGGACCCTGTGTGGCCCCGAAACATTGCCATTCTTGTGACAAACTGTATATACCTCAATAAAGACGTTTCTTGGAAAGATCCTCGGGGTGCTATGACACACTTTACAACTTCGGATTCATGAGGTGCCATCCGTAGCCATTTCAGCTAGCTGGCTTTCGAAGGGTATAACGGTCAGGAGTGTGGTAGGATACCTACAGGACCCTATAATGCGAGCCACACTTGCAATATTATGAAATAGCCATTGTGGGGCTGCGTGCACAAGACTTCAGAGCAAAACCAATATTGCCCTGAAGTGATGTTGGCCAAATAACACCCCGGCTGCCATCAGTTCCAGAGGCCCCGCACATGTAAGAGGAGCAACTGTCTTTTTGGGCTGCTCAGGTGCATGGGCTATGCTGTCATGCAAGGTGTTAGGTAGTGTGAGTAATGAAAGTCAGAACATAGTTGCTGGTCGATGTCAAAACATGTGCAGGATGGCTCACACACATGTAAAGGCATCCTAACAACCATGAAGTGAATTATCTATGGGATGCTAAAAAGTAATAGGGTTTTGAAATGTAGGATATTACCACTACTGTAGGTATAGCAACTTTAACCAAATATATAACAGTCAATAGGGACAAATATCAAATCTTGTAATTATAAAGATTTCAAATCCTCAATATTTGACTAGATTTTAAATATGTGCCCAAATTAAACCATGATGAGAGGGGCTGCTCACTTTCCATCCTAACTCTATGGTTTATTCCGCTGTTCTTCTGGGGTCAGTGTATTGTGCCAAGAGACTGCAGCCATTGCAAACCACAGGCCATCCTTAATGAAAAAAATGACTGCATAGGGGCCGTGTTTATGCAGAACATCATCGGTATACCATGTTTGCACTCTTCAAATTGCATGATTTCACTAGATACTAACAATTCTTCCTCATCCCTGACATCTTACTTTGTGCAAGGGAATCTTCCAAATGATGTCAGGTGATGTGGGAGATGGTGGCACTTGGATGTGTATAGCTCACAACTCCTGTATAGCACATCTCCTTACTGCAGGCAATGCTTAGCTAACCGAGACTCCTGTCACCTGGTATAACATAGCAGCATATACAGGAGCTCACAGGAGGACTTTGGAACTGTTTTACACAGAGAGATCTCTAACTGAAATAACAGTAGGTTTGGTATTTGTCTTTGCTTGAGTCACACACTGCTGGGACCATATTGCCATACAGGTGCAGTGCATGAGCTATGGAGGGGCCATTTCTGTCTAGAAAATGGAAAAGGATGATCAAGCATTTTTTGTTAGATTAAGTGTTATTCAGAGACGTTTATGTGTTCATTAATAGTTAAACCAACCCTAAAAGTAATGCCAATCGAGTACAAGGAATATGAATATCATGTGTGCATGATTGGCCTAAATTCTGATGGAAAAGACAAAAAGGTAACCACAAAATAGCTAAAACTGAAACCATGAATTTAAATTTTAGTTGAATAAATGCAAAGGGACGTATATACTGTAAAGAAGCATATATACAATATTAAAGTGCTCCTGCAGCTTTGTCCTGCATGGTGGAGCCTCTCAATCAAACAAAACTTAAGCTGTATTATTTAGTGAGCTCACTAGATTGATCATATGCAGAGACAGAGTGAAAACTAATCATGGAGAGGGTTAATATAGAAGGCAAAGTAGGAGTTCATTATGGACCAGAAATTCAGAAAGAGAAGGGAGAATGGTAGCTGAACGTGGAACTGGGGAGCAAGGGCAAATCAGAGAAGGCATAACAGCAACTGGTTGTAGACGAGGAGTGCATAAAAGATGCAGAGTGGAAGTGGATCATGGCGAAGAGTGTAAAACAGAGAGAAGTAACCACGGAACCTTGAAAGAAGCATCAAAGGCAGAATAGAAGCAAAAAAGAAAGTAGGATGTATGTTCATTGATCAAGGATCAGGGAGACTAAGAGAAAGGGTAGTTAGTAGATGATTATGGATGAGGGGGACAGAAAGAGTAGGCAACAGGGTCAGATTGTGGACTATTAGGAAAACAGAAAAAGGGGACTAAGCAGCTAATTTTCCCCACTATGGCAGCCTGGAGACAGTGGTAATAGTGTTCAGAGACAACATATCACAGACATACCACAAGATAGGAAGGTAAAGAATGCAGAAAGAAGACAGAAAGACAGGGACACTGCAATACTAAATCAGTGAGAAGGACACAGGGATCAGAGTTTAAGTACTGTACGAAGCAAAGTGGATACAAGACTGAGCATGCAGAATGCAGCATTTTGGAGAGAGATTGGGGTGGAGGGCGGTATAAACAGTTGCACCCTGGATGGTGGGGGGAACCTGCAAGAGAAGATACTACAGACAGTGAGGAAAGAGCCGGAAGAGCATGTAGTGTGGACCGTGGGGTGGAAAGCCACCAGAAAAGGAAGCCAGGCTGGTGGGAGCAGTGCAGCCAGAGAATGCAGTATGGAAAGGAAAGGGTGGGGGTGCAAGAAAAAGTAGTGTAGATGAAGTTGGGTGCTGCTCCATGAGAAGAGAATGTAGTGTGGACCAGGGGGAAAAAGGGCATTCAGACTACACATTGTAGACAGGGAGGATAGTAGTGGGAAGATGCTAGAAGGTAGTGCAGGCCGTAGGGAGAAGCTGCTCCAATCTATGGGAGTAGAACTGTAATAGATGCTAGCACAGAAACTGGAGAAAAAGATACAACACTGAGGTGCACATTGTTTAATGTGGTGGACACTGCTCATGGAACTATGTGGGGTGGGGACATGGACACTTATGGCACTGGCCCTCTATAACTGAACAATGTACAGTATGTGCTGGGGACAGGTTAGTATTGCAGTATAAAACTGAAGGAGGGGTTGAAACTAAGAGGAGACAAAAGGAAACGTTAGGCCCTCTTTAAAGTACCTAGGGGAAAAGATTGACACCCATGTGCCCCGTGAGAACCTGGACAGGACCGAGAGTTAATATACAGTATACTGCCAGCAGCTGGCTGGGGCTGATCCCCCACATCTGGGCTCTGCTCTATTCACTGACCAATCAAAGGAAACAAGAGACAGAATGCCTAATGAAAATAGGAATCTTAAATTCCTTTAATCGCTTTAATATTCTTTGGATATATGATAGAAGGATAGGATATAGTAGGATATAGGGACGTAAGGCTACGCACTTTGGGAAAACAACCATGCACTTCAGAAACAAATATGAAATGTGCATCAATAGTCCAGTTTTCAGTCTGTGTAAGTCCCTGCATCTGCCCATTCACAAATACACAAATGTTATTCTAGAGAAAAAAAGAAAAAGGAGGTCACTTTCCTATGACAGGAACACAAAATGGCAGTGCACTTTGCATGCCACCTGCCTCTGCAACATGGGTCCATTCGAGGTGGGACATCCCACAGATGGTGGATACAATTTGCTAATAAAAGGGGACTGTCCTATCGAAGAGGGTATAACTTTGGTTTCCATTTAAACAGCAACTCTGGGCATATGAAATCTTAACCTCTGCAGTGGGCCTACCCCCGTACTGCCAGGGTTAAGTGCTTGTTTTGTCTAGGGAGCTAAAATAACAAAGATATACTTACCTGAACATTCAACTCAACTGGCTGCTAGACCGGTCCCTGCAGCCTTGGTATCCCTCTACTACGGTGACGTAAAGTCCCTCAGCATCCTCACATCATATACACTGAATTGGATGTGATGATGTCACGGGTTCGTAGACCACCAGAGCAGAGGGGGAGTGAGGCTGCAGGAACCAGTCTAGCAGCCAGCCAGGTCGGAAGTTATGGCGGGTATATTTTTGTTGTTTTAGCTCCCTAGACAAAAAAAGCACTTAACCCTTGCAGTGCAGAGGTAGGCCCACCGCAAGGGTTAAGATTTAATATGCCCAGAGTTCTTCTTTAAGGACTGACTGACTATAGAAAGAGAAATAACAAGATGCACAAACAATAGGGAATAGATTTCTTACCTATTTTTCATAAGCCGCATTTCTCTCTTGCGCGTTGCTTCTTCTGCCATCTGCTGCGGACTGTGCAGGTTTGCTGGTGCCGCTGTCACTACAACCGCTTGTTGCAAAGTAGAGCCCGCTGTACGGATCTGGTAGGTTGGCATCTCTCCAGTAGCAGCTGAAACAAGAGAAATTCTACTTAGAAAACAAACAGGATAATCTCAGGATTACATTATAGAAGGAAAAAAGTTCAAGTGACACTAAACTCAGGAGTTAAACCTTAAAATACATTCAAGTACCCCAACTATGAACAAAAATGTATCTTGTTTGTGTATCCATCTGCTGTAGATCCTCAAATCATCTCTGAATTGGTGCTGACACTGTCCTTCCTTCTGGAGGGTGGCTGCTTTTGTTCCCCATGGTCCCTGTGTGTGTTGTAAAGTAGTCACTGCTCCAAGCTCGCTCCTGGGATGGACTACAATCTCAATACAAATTAGTAAACTAAACATGAGATTGTAGTCCATCACGGGAGTGAGCTTGGAGCGGTGACTACTTTACATCACACACAGGCACCATGGGGAACAAAAGTAGCCACCCTCCAGAAGGAAGGACAGTGTCAGCACCAATTCAGAGATGATTTGAGGATCTACAGCCGAGTGATACACAAATAAGATACATTTCTGTTAATAGTTAAAAGGTACCTGAATGCAATTTTAAGATTTAACTCCTGAGTTTAGTGTCACTAGGTTTTGTTGAGAATCCTCCCTAGGTCGCTTGTATAAAGTGCAAGTCTTTTAGCAAAATTCCTTGTAGATTCTTACATGTTTCTGCAATGGAAATACTCCGAACGTCCACTAATGTGACATTGCTAACTGGAAGTTCTGCTGCCGTGACCATACCCAGTGTTCTACAAAAATAAAATGACATAGAAGTATTTTGTAGACAGTATAAAGAGCATGTTTAGTGTTGCCATGGATGCAAGGAGCAACATTTCAATTTTTCTATCAGTTTTTGAAAGCCATTACGGCGGCTGATTGCGGGTCCACTTAGACCTTAGCATTGCTTTAAGGTTTACCTTTAGGACCATGTTTTATGTTACACCCATATTCAAGGTGTAACATGAGGCATGGTCGCACGCACGCACGCACGCACGCACGCACTAAAGCTGGCCGTACACCTATAGATTATATGCAGATTTGCTATGGTCAGATGGAAAATGCAACCGATTCCTCCTTCTACGCTAAACTGTGCGGATGGAGGAATCTCCCACTGGGCCAAGCTTCAGTATCTTGCTAGTCGGCTCTGCTGGCTGTCCTAATACCTTAATAATACCTGCATCCAATCAGATTGTTCAGGTATTTTGACATCAGTGAGGTCGACTAGCAAGATACTGAAGCTTGGCCCAGTGGGAGATTCCTCCATCCGCACAGTTTAGCGTAGAAGGAGGAATCCGTTGCACTTTTTCCATCTGACCATAGAAAATCTGCAGATAATCTATAGGTGGATGGCCAGCTTTAACTAGATTGTGGGGTTTTCTCCCATTGTTCTTTTTTTAATTTGGTGTGGCTGAGCATGGCTTTGCCCACACAGCCGCATCCTCCATTTATAGATCCTTTGACAGGATCTATGAATGGAGAAACTACACGTACCATCAGCCACCGTGTCAGAGGGACATCACCACACTTGTAGTGCATTCATCTGCTGGAGCCGGAGCATTGCACCCATGATCCTCCAATCATGGTCAAAACAAAAAGTAATAAAAGCACATTTTTTTCTATTATGAAGATGTGTCCATGTAGTATTTTTTTTTTACAAACGTGGACTTTACCTTAAAATATTACCTAGTCACTGTATATCAGCACGCAACTATTCACTGTATAGCAGGCAGAAAGAGGGTGGGTCAGCACTAGGAGGAAATCAGGTGTGCTACAGGCACACAAGGAACAAGGAGAAGGAACATGCTAAGAGCAGAGCGATGACAAGAGTATTCTGCTGCTCCTTCACTGTCCAATCACAGTCTGTGGCAAAGAGGAAATTAAGATAAGAATAAGCATGCTACAAAACTGGCGGTGCTGTGTAAATTTCAGGATGGGTTCAGGAAAAACAAAGATTTTTGGAAGATAAAACAGCTCATATATATGTGTATATATTAAAGATGATATGATAATAAATGTAAGTGTTATGTGCATTGGAAATCTTCATTCCAGCAAGGAGAGGGTTGTCATTTAATTGACTGTAGTATGCAGTATATATATATATATATACATACATACATTTATTTAACTGTGTTCTGCATTGTATACCTGGAGTTGAGCTTTGAATATGCATTTCATGAATACATAAACTAGTGTTCTTTTATTAGCTGCCTGGAGTGACGTGTGGGAGCAGTTTCAGGAAGGACTACAGGGTGACTGACTCTGTTTTCCCTTCTGCGGCAGTGATTTTGCAGTTTGACAGCAGGATATGCATCATTCAGATCACATGGGCCCCCGCAGATGTAGCAGCCAAAAGGCTTTCAGACCACTAATACCATGGGATATATTTTAGTAGTAGAACACTGACATCATCGCTCTCTCAAATGTCATGATGGAATCTAGCTGTGGTCAGATCAGTTGTACACTGCATGAGCAAGCACAACAACCCACTCGGCCGCTTGAGGGTCACCCGCTCTGTTATTCCACCCCTATGAATAATACCGTTCCTGGTAAAGACAGCCCTTTCTGCCATATTTTATTTGTGAATCAGTTCAATATAAGTTATTAAAATGTGTGATGAATTGTATTTGCCAAAACAGCCCATTTTAGGGGCTGCCTCTTCACCAAGGCTTGGCTGAATTTCTGCAGATGGTTTGGCCATAGGAGTTCTCTTTTTCCGCCATAGGCGAATGAAATATTTCATGAGATTTCGTAACTTGCATTAAACAGATGGATGAAGGACATATTTTGAACAGGAAAGGTCCTTTTTAAGGCCGATGATTTCAAGAGTACTCATGAATATTTCAAAACAGGCTGTTTGAGAAGTATAGGTGCAATGCATGGTTGCAAAAAGCAGAAGTGGGAAACATGTTGCAACATTGAAAAATGTGTTGCTCCGTTATATGGGACAGACTACATAGTATAAATCACATCCTAATCTAGATGCAGATTTAGGGCTTTTGGGTTTTAGCTATACTTTAAGTATAACTGCACAGTCCAATTAGCAACAGAGTTTGACTGTGATGCCCATTGCACTCTAATCTAACAGACGAGGTCTGACACAGCCCCCTCTTCCTCAGCAAAACAAGTCTGCATGAAGATCACTGTGATGAGGGATGAAGCCATTGTTCATCACTGCCAGCATAGAGCACTGGAGTGAGTGAACAGTAAGTGCATTTCCACTAGTAGAAAACAGTAAACATTAACATATGGCTGACCATACCCCTATATGGGGCCCAGGGCACGGGGAGGCCCAGCCAGGACGCGGAACAAATGGGGTCCCCCTGATGCTGTGTGGGCCGCCTGGGTCGCTATGGCATCTTAGGCTGCTGGCTGTCACTGGCGGCTGTGAGGAGGAACGTGCCGCTGTTCAGAATCACTGACAACTGTCAGTTCCTCCTCACAGATGCTGCTAGGTCATTGACAGGCAGCAGCTGCGGAAGAGGAGGCAGGGCCCGATGCCGGCAGCGGAGGAGGCGAGGCCTGCAAGCGACCATGGAGGAGGAGCTTACAGGCAAGAGATGTGCAGGGGTGTGACCAGCCCACCTGGGACCCTGCAGAGCCCACCATAGGGAGTCTATGATGGGCTCTGCAAGGTCACTCTTAGGTGGGCTGTGGGGGATCTCAGGTAACAGGTGGGCCCTGCAAGGGTGTAAGTAGAAATCACAGGGCCCCATACAAAATTTTGCTATGGGGCCCTGTGATTTCTAGTTACGCCCCAGATACTATCAATACATATATTGTCTATATATAGTTATCAAACTAAAATACTTTCTCTCGTGGCTCTTTAGGGCCCATTCACACCAGATGCGTTACTCCTAATGCACAGACAAGGTAAACTGCCTTGTTTACAAGAAGTCAAGTCACACCATCTTGTTGCAGGGATGCACGCTGAAAAAAGTACTACATACAGTAATCTTTTTCAATGCAGTGTGCCGAGACGCAGTACAGCACATTGCAACATGCCGACATTTTAATAAAGGTTTAAAAAAAGGTTTACAATGCCATGCACCGTATTCAGCACAATGGCACCGTTCGGGACATAGCACATACCAGTGGCTTTTCTCTGACCCATAAGGAAGATAATTATAAACATTTGGTGCGTTTTGGACCCTAATGTTTTTCCAATAGAGATCTTATTTATCATTAGGCTGTGTTCTTAGCCTTTGGTGCTGCTATTTGCAGCTTTTGCTAGCAGTTACTCCACATTCTAGAAGTACACTGTGATACAATACAATGCAGTGTAATCACCTTAACATAACAGTGGCTTAGTGGTTAGCACTTCTGTTTTTCAGCGCTGGGTTCCCTGGTTCAAATCCCGGTCAGGACACTATCTGCAGGGGTTTGCATGGTCTCCTGTCCAGGGAGGTCAATTGCCTCCTGTCTAAATCAGCCTTGTATGTCATGGATCGGGACCTTAGATGGTAAGTTTTTTGAGAGCAGGGACTGATGTGAATGTGCAGTATATATAGCATTGTGTAAATAGTTAGCGCTATATAAATACTCTTCACAAAAGGTGCTGTCTACAACTATTTAGATCAGTGGCTTTCGATTCGAGTTATAGGGGGCCTCAACTTTGACCTATGATATAATCAAAGGCATGCACATAATGTTCAGTATGTGGACTGTTAGGGACTGCTGATATAGTACAGGAGATGATGGTAGGAGACTGTAGACGTTCTACAAAACATGGTGAGAGACTGAGCACATGTTACATGAGCCTAGTAGAGATTATTACTATTACACTTCAATAGCAATACAATCTAGAAAAACACATTTGAAAGGGCGCTGTGACTTTTTAGCAATTGATCAAATGCAAAAAAGATCCCTTTAATTATTCATAATTCGATCAAACAGTCAATGCATTTCAGGGGCAACAATACTCCCCCTTCCTCAGGGCTTATAATTTGATAAAGACCTGAACAGGCTCAGAAGATACCATAACTAAATGGCTCTATATATGATTTGATATAAACTCTACTTT